AGTACTCTCCTCTCAGACCATCGGCGTAGAATTCGCCTCGCGCATCGTGAAACTCGGCACGGGCTCGCGCCGGAGACGCATCAAACTCCAACTCTGGGATACAGCAGGCACAGAACGCTTTCGATCCGTTTCAAGATCATACTATCGCGGCGCAGCAGGCGCAATCCTCATCTACGATGTCGCTTCCTACACTTCCTTTGCTTCCCTCCCGACCTTCCTCATGGACGCCCGCGCCCTAGCTTCCCCGAACTTATCCGTCATCCTGGCCGGGAATAAAGCTGACCTGACCTCCGACGCTCAGTCCGATTTCGAAGATTACTCCCGCCCCCCTCCTACTCCGACCCCGTCCAGTATTTCTAGCAGACAGTCGTCTATCCCTTGGGATGCGAATGGGTCAATTCGCTCGACTAGCATGATGGGCACGGGGACTAGGTTGACTGCTACCCGTGCCTCGGAGGGCAGAGAGGTGAGCTCCGAGGAGACATCCCGCTGGGCTGCCAAGTCGAATATACCTGTCGCTGTGGAGATATCGGCTCTGACGGGGGAGGGCGTGGAGGAAGTCTTCAATCGGCTGGCGCGTATCATCTTGACCAAGATCGAGCTCGGTGAGATCGACCCCGATGACCCGCAGAGTGGGATCCAGTACGGGGATGGAGGTCTGTATGGCGGCAGTGATGCTTCAAGTATCAGAAGTCGGGCGACGTTGGACGATAATTCCGTGCCCCTTCAGCGCAGGAATCCCCGTCGAAAGGGCAAAGCTCCTGGCACACCTAGCTGGAAGAGCGGGATGAGGGAATGGGAGGATGTCTTCCGCTTGGGCTCTGGAAGTCGCCCCAATCAAGGGTGTTGTTAGTATTGTGGATCATCCTACATCACCCTGGGTACATTTGTTTATTTTCTGTTTTGATTTGGTCTTTGGTTTACTACACTGCACGATACCCCCTCGTTGACCTTGATCATTCAAATGTTTCTACATACTTGTTACTTTATTACCCGACAGCTCAGACCTCCAGGAAGAGGAATTAATTGCATATAAACTTTTTGATTCATCTCTCGTTCAAAATCTGCCCCCAAAACAACGCCCCGTCATCCCCAACGTTTCGTCTCTCGATTTATACATCAATGCCAGCAATCAAGGTCTTAATGCCCTTGCCAGCCTTGACCTCAACAAAGGCCTTCTCAGCATCCTCGAACTTGACTGTATCGGTAATCAACTTCTTGACATCGACACTGCCGGACGCAACCAGCCCAACGGCAAGCTTGTAGTCCCCGCTACCATATCGGAAGCTACCCTTGATGGTCAGCTCCTTGGAACAAGCCGCCATGATGGGGAATATGATCTCGCTGCGGCCCATGCCACCCTGTACGTATGTGCCTCCGTTGCGCAGGACATGGATGCCCGTGTGCACGGAAGGCTCAGCGCCCGAAGCGTCAATGGCAACATCGGCACCGAGGCCGAGCCCATTCTCCTGTCTCAGACGCTCAGCGTTCTCAGTGGCCGGGACATTTTTAGGCATGAATGTCGCCGTCGTGGCGTAGTCCTTAGCAAAGTCAAGACGCTTCTGTTGGATATCTACGACGATGACCTTGGAGGCGCCGAACGCAGTCGCCACGGCGCAGCACAGCAAGCCTACAGGGCCGGCGCCGAATACCACCACCGACTGGCCCGGGCTGACTCTAGCTTGGCGCACAATGTGCACCGCGACACTGAGAGGCTCCATGAGCGCTCCCTCCTGTAGGGAGATGCGCTCGGGGAGCTTGTAGCAGAAGTCCTCGGGGAGAACATAGTACTTGGCCAGGGTGCCGTCGTAGGGCGGGGTCGCGGCGAATCGCATGTGCTCGCACAGGTTGTACTTTCCGGCCTTGCAGGGCTCGCATCGGCGGCAGGGGATGCCGGGCTCCATGGCGACCCGGTCGCCTACCTTGAGGGACTTGACGGCCGAGCCGACTTGGGTGATGACGCCTGCTGACTCGTGTCCGAGGACCATGGGGTCTGTCACAACAAATGGCCCAATCGAGCCTTCTTCCCAGTAGTGCACCTGTTGCGGGGATTGGTTAGGCTGGTGGGTCATACTGTTTCCGGGGCATACATACATCACTGCCGCAGATACCGGTGTACTTGACGTTGATGAGCACATCGTGGGGTTCTTTCAGCTCGGGAATTGGGCGGTCTTCAAAGGTAACCTTGTGGACGCCCTGGAGGATGAATGAGAGGTTCTACATGGCTGTCAGACTTGTCCTGTACGTCATTCTCGACAGTCCTACCTCAGGTGTGGCCATTGTGTATATTTAGAGGGGCAACGGTGGGAATTCCGGGGAAATCAGCAACAGTTGAGGGATGGAGAGAAGAGTATAAGGAGTTAATAGAGATTCTACACGCAAGAGAGGAATATATCTCGAAAAGATAAAGGGATCGGGAGAACCCAGTCGAATTGAATTGAACCGAACAACGCAGAGCTCCCCGCAGGTCCAGACGAGTTCCACTATGTGGATCGGCCTCTCTTCTCTTTTAGCCGCGATATTAACCGGCCCTCGGGGCTTTTGGCGGGATTCTCTTTCCTCGGTGAAGTCACAAGAGGCAATAAACATCAGGCCATGTGACCCGCCACTTTTGGTCAAGTGACGTACTTGATTTGGATAACATATATCTTCAATACTCTGTATAGGATACATATATATATGTATAGTACTTAATATAAGAAAGAGGTGATTTAGTTCCAAATAAAAACAACACATATAAATTCAGATCAGATACTACTCTACTACTACAGTACACCTTATGTAGTATTATTATAGGTAGATACTATGTACTTCAGGGCTTGTAGACCTTTCTCAGCCGAAAGCTATCGGCCGAAACGCCAAGACCCGGGGATTTTGTCCGTCCTCAAGCTCTCTCTCTTCCTTCCTCTCTCCTCTCTCTGATAGCTTAGAGCTTCACTTCTTCTACACATTGCAATGGTATTCAATGCCCTCGCCCTCGGGGCGCGTAGTCTTCGGACTCGACCATCACCCCGCCTTGTGCGCCATTTCGCAGCTTCCGCCAAGCAAGCAAAGGAAAACCAATCATTCAAGAGTCAACTATATGAAAGCACCCAGCAGCGTTTGAAGCGCGAGCGTGCCGAACAGGAAAAATTCGCCCAATATCAGACTCAATCTCCCACGGGTCGCTCTGCCGCCCTGATCTTCGGTATGCAAAGCTGAGATAACCTACATTGTCCTCTGGATAGGTCAGCTAACTAGACCTGCAATCGCGCTGTAGCTTTGGTTTTCTTCTCAACTGGTGCTTACTACCTCGGATCCCTCAAGCCCGCAGCTCTGCCAACGACATCTACGACTCCGCTCTCTGATATCGGGCCCGCAAAACACAACGTCTCTATCTCCAACCTCCAGGCAGCGTGGGCCGATTTCGTCGAGATCTTGGGCAAGGAAAATGTTTCGACTTCAGTTGGCGACGTGGAAATGCATTCCGGATCCGATTGGTCCTCCTACACACCGAAAGAGGGCGAGAAGCCCTTCTTGATCCTCTACCCGTCAACCACTGAGGAAGTCTCGCGCATCATGAAGATCTGCCACCAGCGTATTATCCCCGTCACCCCGTACTCCGGCGGCACGAGCTTGGAGGGCCATTTTGCGTCTACTAGAGGCGGCGTGTGCGTGGATTTCCGTCGCATGGACCGTATCTTGGCGCTCCACAAGCCTGACATGGATGTTGTTGTCCAGCCTGCTGTTGGATGGGAGGAGTTAAACGCGGAGATCGCCAAGGATGGACTTTTCTTCCCGCCGGACCCTGGTCCCGGTGCGATGATTGGTGGTATGGTCGGAACAGGATGCTCAGGAACGAATGCCTACCGGTACGGGACAATGCGTGAGTGGGTACTGTCGCTTACTGTTGTCCTCGCCGATGGCACCATTATCCACACCCGGCAGCGCCCAAGGAAGTCTAGTGCTGGTTATGACCTGACCAAGCTCTTCATTGGCAGCGAAGGCACTCTTGGTCTGGTAACGGAGGCGACCTTGAAGCTGACGGTCAAGCCCCAGAGTGAGAATGTTGCTGTCGCAAGCTTTGGCACCATCCACAGGGCTGCTGAGTGTGTGACCAAGGTGGTGGAGGCTGGTATCCCTGTCGCTGGTGTTGAGATTCTGGATGATGTCCAAATGAAGTGCATCAATGCAAGCGGTACTACTAGCCGTCAGTGGAAGGAGTCACCCACCCTGTTCTTCAAGTTCACTGGTACCCCGAATGCGGTTAAGGAGCAGATTGGGTTGGTGAAGAAGATTGTGTCCACAACTTCGGGAAATAGCTTCGAGTTTGCTCGAGATCAGGATGAAATGGCAGAACTTTGGAGTGCCCGCAAAGAGGCGCTGTGGAGTGTCCTGGCGATGAAGAAAAACCCGGATGACCACGTCTGGACGACTGATGTCGCGGTCCCGATTAGCAGGTTGCCCGATATCATCGAGGCGACCAAGGAAGATCTGACCAAGCATGGCTTGTTGGCCGGAATCTGTGGCCATGTTGGAGATGGCAACTTCCACTGTAAGTTATTGCCTTTATACTCCAAAGTCGTTCGACATGTATTAACAGCCGACAGCGATCATCCTCTTCAGCGAGACTGAGAGGAGCATAGCCGAGGGAGTCGTGCACCGCATGGTGAAACGCGCCGTGGAGATGGAGGGCACTGTTACCGGAGAGCACGGTGTCGGTCTCGTCAAGCGCGACTACCTCGAGCACGAGGTTGGTATAACTACAGTGGACACAATGCGCCGGGTAAGTCTTGACATACATTCTCATTCAACCCCAGACTCCAATACACCTTTGTCTACACCCATGGAGCATACCACTAATACTCATATCTGCGGTAGCTAAAATTGGCTCTTGATCCACTCCGCCTGCTCAACTGCGACAAGGTTATTCGCACCGAACAACCGGCTCCCGGAGAGATCAAGGAATGGTAGATGTCTATCTATTGACAGGATCTATATATCCGAGGCACTGAGGCTACCTACTCCGAATCCGAACCAGAACGTTCATGGTGATGATGGTGGTGTCGGTGGTGTCGATGACGTTCCTCATCATCGCTGCCAGAGCCCGAACCGTGCCTGGGGCGCTCCTCGCCTTCATATTGTCGCTCGGGGCGGTAACCATCACCGCCCTCTCGCTCACCATATCCTTCCTGTGGCCGATAGCCGGAATTCTCAAATTCATTGTAGCCAGGCTGCGGTCTACCATATCCGGAGGACTCCCTGTACATCGTGGTTAATATATGGGACTAGCCAATAACAACTGATGAAGTCAACTTACTGTCCATATTCCTCACGGGGAGGTGGGCCTCCATATCCATATTGTGGCTCTGTACGCTGATATTCAGATGGACCACCTTGGTAGATTTCCCGTGGCTGCTCCTGATAGTAACTCTGACTCTCCGACTGGTATTGGTGGTGCTGCTGGCGGAAATTCTCCGCTGGGGGTGCGTAGCCGGAGTACTCATCGTGAGGTGGAGGTGGTTGTTGATAGACAGTTTCACTTTGATATTCGTATCCGTCGGGACGAGGACGGTATTCTTCGTGGTGAGCCACGGGCTGACCGTAGCCTCCGTAGCTTGGTTGTCCATATCCGCTCTGGGGCTGACTATATCCACTCTGGGGTTGACTGTAGGAGTCCCCTCCATATTGCTGCTGGCTCTCATGTTGGGGTCGACTCTGGTAAGAATTCCCGCTGTCATAGTTCTGAGGCTCTGGGCTCTCACGATCAGGCTTTGAGCCGCCGTTGTTGAGAAGCATAGAGCCCATGCCTCCTACGAGTCCACCGAGAATACCGCCAAATGCGCTTCCTCCCATAACCTCGGAGGCAAGATTCTCAATGCCACCAGAGTCACCGGACGCTTGGCCTCCACCAGAGCTGCCTTGAGCCTTGGGAAGAGCGAGCGGCTTGCCACATCCGTGTCCGCAGTCTTGCACACCATCTTTATGATTCCTGCCTTCGAGGACACCATCGCGGCTCAGCTGGTCGCGGAGGACGTCACGCTCCTCGTCACTCTTTTCGTTCCACCACTTTTCGACCGTGGAGAACATGATTTGATGCATATCGGCAGCTCCATCATTTCCAGACTCGCGAAGAGCGGGGTGGTGGAAAACACCAGAAATGATTCTGTCGAGAGTTCGGTCGACATCGACATTCTCGTCGTCCCAGCATGACATGAGCTGAGGAACTGCCCATTTGACAACCGCTGACGCAATACGACCAGCGGGCTCATTCAGGATGTTTGAGAAGTGGTCTTTTGAGAGCATTGAGTGAGTCGGGTTTGAGCAGCTGTCGTCGTTGAACACCACGTGCTGTTGCTCCCGGCTGCTCTGGATCACTTCAGATGAACCAGTTTCAAGCTCGGCCTTGACCTGCTTGATGATGGGAAGGACGTAAGGAGCCAATATAGAGAAGACAAAAATCGTAATTTGATCCTGAATTTGCTCGATCAGGTCGGGCAAGATTGGAATCTTTTCGATGGCCTTGTTGATTTGTTTCAGTAGGTTGTCGTGCCACTCGAGGACTGGGTAGATCTGCTTCTGGGCATTTTCCAGGTAAAGAGTCCACTCTTCAGGATCCCGAGGAGTGACCTTCTCGCCGTCATGTTTGGCATCATCTGCCTTGGACTTGAAGTCATCCATCTTGCTAGTCTGGTCGGTGTCACCAAGCAGACCGTCGGGAATCTTGCTCAGCAGAGTCTGCAGGAAACTCTCGGAGGAATCCTCATTCTCCGATTGGGCGACGACAGTCTCCAAGGACTCAATTTCAGACTGCATTGTCTTATCGGACAACTCTCCCAGCACCGAATGGAAGAAATCCACTCCACCAAAGGTACCAGTCACGATTGGATAGACTTCCTCATCGACCCCGTCAACCTGCAGTTTAGTGTCGCGTCCGACGTGAGGGAAGACCTCTGTCTCTCCTAGTTCAATCAGGCTGAGCTCGGTGTAGTTGGAGTGCGCAGCATAATCTTCTAGACAGTGCAATCCAGTGCCCAACAGTCGCAGAGCTTCATATAGATCGTCCTTGTTCCTGGATTGGCCATAGCGCCGGCCCATCTGAATCGAGCGGCCAAGAACACGGCGAATCAGCGCGGCCGAGTTGTCGATATCCGCATCCTCCGTTGCGATGTAGCGTTTCAGGCCTGTATTTCGAATTGGTTAGTCCAATATCGACTACCACATAATCAGACTTCATACCGGTGCGGGAATCCACTGCGAGTTCCTGTTCTTCGTCAACGGGACCACGTAGTCGCGGATCGTAGTCACGCGCATCCTCTCCGGTAGCGTATCCCAAGGGATTATCGATATGCTCCGTAGGTTGGTAACATCCCAGGCGTTCAGTCGTAACCTCAAACTCTCTGGTCCCGTATCTTTTATAGGTCTCAGCGAAATGCCGACAGTCTCGATATATACTTTCACGACTCACCCAAAGCTCATAAATCCCAGCACCCACAGTAGGATACGGATAGCTTCGGCACTAACGTATTTGACGGTGCCCACATCGACTGCTTGGCTGTAATCACGCAGCCAATTACCGAAGTAGACCCGCTTTACATCCAGCTTGCCGAATTTCTTACCACCGGCGACCCTTGCCATTAAGAGAGTCAGGAGGGTATCCTCAATATCTCCATGACGCCAGTTTTGACCTTCGAGGCGGGAAAGCGAGGCGATGTTTCCAGCGCCAAATGCATATGCTTGGCCGGAGAAAGCGACCAGTATCAAGAGGGTCAACCCCAGGTTCTGTAAAGACAGACCCATGGTTGGAGAAATGGTACAATGTCGGGGATATTTTTTATGCGAAAGCAAGGGAAGAAAAGGAAGAGAAGAAAAGAAGCGAGAGAAAGAGAAAGAAACAAAAAGAGTCAACCCCACCATGTACAACACATAATGTCAAACACTTGGTGGGATGAAGATCATGGTGGCTTGGCTGCAGCTTGGCGGATGTACGTATACGGAGTACATGAAGGTACATGCGGTACATGACACATGTGGTATTATTATGGAGAATACATGAAAGATTCAAGTGGAGATTGTATTGCCAGGTATATCGTGTAAATGAGGTATTAGGGAGAACAGGGGCGATAAAGGAATAGATTAAAATAAGATGAGCCTAGGCAAAACCGCACTAGCGCGACGAACTATTTCAAACTAATCAAACGATCAAAACGAATCAAACGAACTAGAAGAACTAAAAGAACTACAAGGAATCATCCAATAGGAGGCCGAGTGGGTAATATAGGGGAAGAATAGGAGAAGTCAAAGCCGCATGCGGTCTCGATCCCGTCTGTCTCCGGCTTCACCGCCGTCTCCTTTTTCTCTTCGACTGGGAATATATCTACTCTCGATTTTTTATTACTTCATTACTTCCTTTTTTTCCTCTCTCTGGCTTCGAACTCTTCTACTCATCGGACCCTGTCTCAAATGCCAGATCCTGTATCTTCCCCGCTATAGAGCGCTTATCTCAAATCTTCACTTCCCCCGCTGATGTGCTGATGCGCTGATGCGCCCCTCTTGATCAATCTTGATTTATCTTACGATTACTCCTCCTTTCTCGCTTCCCCACTCATCCTTGGCCTGGAATCGGACTGCCATACTCTGATTCCCCTTTAGCTCGTGTGGACAATCATGCATCACGCGATTCACTACTAAAAGCCGTGACTTAAGAGCGTTCTGACCATGGCACGCGCCGACGATTCATACTCCCGCGAGTCGGCCTTCCCTGTCATGAAAAACCGACTGGCGGGTGAATCTGGATCCCTCCAGCGCCCTGTAAAGGCGAGACCAGTCATTGAAACCGGACGGGCTACCTCCTATAGGTTTCCGCCTCGAGATCTCAACAACTCCCAAGATCAATTCCCATTCGATGTTGCCGACAACTCGCACTCCCCTATCAGTCTCAAGAAACGCAACTCCATGGCTTCAGGCATGGCTATGCATGGTACCACACCGGGCGAACAACCGTGGAATTCGGAACAGAACATGAATATATCCACCGACGCCCTCGACTCTCGCCCTCACAAAAGCAAATCAATAAAACCCAAGGTCCACATCAAGCCCATTCTGCGGAAACTCTCCCGGGATGATGCGCCGTCGACCTCAATTGATTTGTCCCGATCGTCCACTGAACAAGAGGGGCTGGGCATTTACATGAACCTCGAGCGAGAGTGCCCACGCAGCGAGCCCCTCGCAGGTGTGACTTTTAAGAGAACATCCTCCGGTCTTCACCATCGATCGGCCAGTGGAACATCTCAGTTCTCAAATGGCTCAGGCTCCAGTGCGACCAAGCCCGGATCCCAGTACGTGCATCCCATGCGACAGACGCCTCGAGCGTACACTCCACCATTGGGCCGGTCCTACGAGGACTCGAACCGGGATAGCGAAGAACTCTATGAAAGCCCCGAGTCGGAACCTTCATCTACACAAGAATCCCGTACTTCTTCAGGCCCGGCCCTACCCCGGCTGTCATTGCAGATCCAAGAAGATTCTTTCACTCGGCTCCCCGGGGTTTCGCAGACCAACGTGACCAGTCGACCGTCCTTTGGGTACTCGCGGGAGGCGGATGGTACTACATCTCCGTTGTCTAGAACGTCTCTCGACTTCGTTTTCCGATCTCGAACCCGTACTAGCACCGATCCTATTTCGCGTGCAGCCACAGTTCAGGCTGCCCGCCAGGCATTTGAGGAAAAAGAAGCCGCCAAAAACCGACGGCTTGAAAAACAACAGATCAAAGCTGAAGAGAGAGGCCCCCGGCGTCTCTTGAAGCGGCACACGTCGGAAGATAATGAGTCTCCTGTGCAGTCTAAAGAGGAGATTTCTGAAAAGCCCCAAAGACCCGTTTTGCATGGGACCGAAGAACCATCTGCCTCATGGAAATCCCAATCCAAAAGCGCATGGGTTCTCTTTATGACCTGGCTTCGAACTAGAGTGTTCAAACTGCGACGGAAGATTAAGAAACTTCGTTGATTCTGACTCCTTTCGTCCAGGTTTTCTTTTTTCTTTTTTTCTTTGTCTTTTCCTTTGTTTCGCCCCTTTCCTTTTTGTTCCAAGTTCATACTTCAATGAGCGAGCGATTTGATTGTTCCCCTGGTGTTGATCTGCGAGTCTTTTTTGCACCTTTATGGGAATATCGCTCAATATGAGCAGATACACGGCGTCTGGATTGTGTCTTTGCAACGTATGCGTTTGCCATCTCTAGGCAATCGCAGGTCGAGTTGTCCTAGAGATATTGACCTAGCATTTCCGAGGGCATTTTATTTTATGCATGGGAAATGAGAAATGTGGGATCTGCTTCCCCAATGGTACCAGACCAAATTATGAAATGAAATTCATACCATTATTCAATTGTGCTTTGTAAATGTAAACGTCAGATGTTGTCAATGTTGTCAAGGGATATAATTGTAGTCACGTGCCAAACTGCGCTGTCCGCGTCTTCCCCAAATTCCCCCGAAGACTACGGCGCACAGCAGCGACAACAACCGCCTGATAAGCTCCACACTTTCCAGCTCTATCTATTTCTTTTACAGACGCACCTCCACGGAGGGGAGCGTCTCCTTCATCATGGTGTACGATTGGTCTGGCAAGCGGGAAATCTGCTTCCAGATGTACATTCAGGAAAAGAAGGCGTTAGAGGAGATCATGGACTACATGCGAACTTCCTGTCAGTTTGCGCCAAGGTAAGTGTATATGTCCTTGCTTTCATTTGTAGGACATACTAATTGATTTTCATCACTTCTCTAGCAAGCGTGCCTTTCAGACTCAATTTAAACGATGGGGCTTTCCGTCGAAACAAAATCCAGCACACAAGAATATTGAACTCGTCGCTCGAGTCAAAGAGCTTTGGGAACGGAACACAAGCCAGCGGGATATGCTCCGCATCTTGAATGATGAAGGCTTTGAGATTAAAGAGAGGGAATTAATGCGAGTACGCGCAAAGAATCGATGGCTGCTGCGAGTCCCCAACGGAATGAAGTCACAGTCCAATGTCGAGGAAGAAGAAGCCGTCCAACCGGAGGATGAGGGCTTACTCGCCTTGCAGCAGGAGGTATACAAGGTCGAAAGCGTACTCGATAACCCACATCATCTCCCTACACAACCAGATGAACGCCCAACCAATGAGTCCCCCGCTCTCTCACCAGAGGTCATCGCAAAACGCCAAGAGCGACTGGAACGCCTAAAGACCGAAAGCGCAGAACGTTGGGCAAACCGAAAACGTCGTCGTCGAACTCGAGGATGGGCCGGGCTGCCAGCTGACCCTCCGGGGCCTCCACGCTTTCCGTCGGAGACAACCATCGACGAGAGCAAGCAGTATCTCAACCTAGACAACACCATGTACCGCCAGACCAGGGACCATTTCCAGCGAATCTGCGAAGAAGCAGGCTTCATAAAGAAAACCGCAGCCGGTCCTGAGAGATGGCAAGCTGCGAAAGACAAATTGATCCAAGAATCCCCACACCTTCAACAGGTGTTTAATACAGATCCTAATCAACGCGATGCAAAGGCCCTTGCACTCGATGTTGTGTGTACCGATGTCACCAAACGAATGCGGACTCTGGAGAGACGCATGACAATCGCGGAGGCGAAGAATGCCCTAGGGATCAACCCGGAGGAAAGTCGACAGATTAGAAATGCGTTCTATGACACCTTGAAGGTGGATCATTTCACAAGCAAGTTAGAGGCCGGCGATGAACACTGGAGAGAGCTCAAAGAGCAATGGATTGCAAACTCGGAGCTGCTTCAGCAAATCCTCGCCCCTGGGCCAGTTGACCCAGATCACGGCAACAAACTAAAGGCCCTGGAAGTACTCTGTCGCGATGTCATGAAGAGACTCCGAGACGACCAGACGAAGCGAGATCCGGCACGTAGGAGATCATCGGCCCGTGCCGGGTCTCGAAATCAAACCCCGACAACCTCCTCGATGGGCAGCATGCTAGGCAACGACATCAGCAACGGGATTAGTACTTTGGCTTCTCAGGCACTGGCCAGTGCACCCATTACGGCTACTGATATTGGCGATATGCAAATTGACCCTTCACTACTCCAGGCTGCGAACGACCCATCTTTCTCGGCCAATCCACACCACGACGCAGGCAATGGCTTTGAATATGTGGATCCTATGCTCAGTTCCGCACTATTACATACCCCCGTCTGGTGTCGGATTAGCTTGAAGGACCAGTCGCAAGAAATAATCCGAAAAACCTGGCTCGAAAAGCTAGCCACACGAACAGTGGAAGAACTCCGGCAATTGATCGGCGCCAGGTATCCATATTCAATCATCGCCCGAATCGAGGGCATTGACAGGGATGAGGAAGGGAATGAGCTTCTCTTCTCAATCGACAATGATCATCAATTGGATGCATACTTGACTCATGTCCACGGAAGGAAGGCATTGCTTGATTTCACCTTTGGACAGATCTGAACTGTCGGCCCTGGTGGCAAGGCGTAGAATCGGTTGAGCTAAACAGCGTTATTACCCCCAATGTTAGGATAACAAATGAAATTTACTGTAAGGAATAAGATAAATAGGACATTCTTCCTTGGATATTAAGTCTCCAGACTCAAAGGCGCATTACTAGATCCTTAACACCACCAGGACTTGGGCTTGTGTAGTAAAAGATAAATCATGAAGTTTTTGGGGGGTACTAAGTGACCATATACATATACAACATTGTTCGCTGTTCACAATTCTAATGTTCAAAAAGAAAAAAATCCCTGTCAACCGCTACACCCGTGCACCGAATAAGAAACCGCCATGGACCAAA